AAAAAAAAAAAAAAAAAAAAGGGTGCTACAACCGCCCTTTTCAAACTCGGGGCCTGATGTTACCGCCTTCTGATGTTATGACTGCCTTTTCGAACTGCGGCCATTTTTCCGTTGCCCATGAGTGTTTTTTTTGCCTTTACAGTTTGAAAGTGTGCTACTACCGCACTTGTTTCATATTAAATATATATATTCTGTTTTTTTTTTTTTTTTTTCCTGGGCGGAAAACCAGATATCAGGGAGAGGAGAACAGAAATCAGAAGGAAATGGGTGCAAGTGATGATGACGCACCTCACTTAATACAAACCAGTGCCAAGAAGATTCACCCTATTATTCTCCGCACCGCTTCCACAAGAAACTCCGTAATCCTCCTTTCGCTTGTTGTCTCACAGAAGGCTGACCAATAATACCATCCGCGTTCCCCCCTCCTCCATTCAACTTCAGTCTTCAGTTTCCAGTGACAGGATGATTCTCCTTTTGATACTCCTTCCCTCTTCCAACCCTGATTTACTCCTCCACTTTTTTCCACTTGCAGCCCTGATTTCCTCCACTTTTTCCAGCTGGTACACCGTACTCAAGAGACACTGGCTCGGCCTCGATTAGGAATAGAGCTTACTCCTTTTGCATCCGCCTGCTCTCACTTAAAATATACTTTCACTCGTTCTCCCCACATCCCTTCGACTAGTGCCTTGATATGCCTCCTCACCCCACACAAGAGCATTCCCCCTCATTCTTTCGCCAATGCCTCACCTCATTCCGAGCCACAGCCTCATTTGCCTTTACAAGCACCTCCCCCCCTCCTTCATTAGCCCCGTCCCTGATCTCATAACCTACCCCAGCGTCTATCCTTTGACTTTCATCTCTACCCCACACTTTTATGCCTCCCGAAAAAGTAATTTATGACGTCAACACCAAGGTATGTACTTGGCATGTACCGCTGCCTCAATGCAATCACTCTCCTTATTAGCGCTCCTCGGAGACTTTCCGAAGCACCGTCCTCCCTCCTATCACTGAATCACATTTTCCTTTGAAATTGGAATGACCTCCATATTGAGGCTGAGAATGTACTTAACCCTTACCCCTGGCGCAATGTAGTCACCCTACTTGATAACGTTCCCTCAGAGACTTTCCGAAGCTCTTTACCTCCTCTCTTCACGTGAACACTGCCACCCCCTGTTGACTTCGTATGACCTCTACCCCCCAACGCTGACTACACATCGACTTCGTCGATGTCACCTATCGCGGAAAAAATCCAAAATTTAAAATTAGTATCACATGTGTGATGTCAACATTGTGACTGAGTATGTACATTGGCCCGTGCCACCGGCTCAATGCAGCAGCTCTGTACTTCCTCCCTACGCCTGAGCGCTACTACCAATGCTGACTACACTGCGATTTCGTCAATGACCTCCAGGCGAGAAACACCTTGCCACCCTACTCCCACCTATCAAGGTATGTCGTCTACTTTTTCACTGGCGCAATGTAGTCTCTGTTATCTTTCACCCAGCGACTCCCCACATCGCTATACCTCTGCTGACTTCGTACGACCACTACCAACCAATCGCTACCAACCAATCGCTACCAACCAATGCTGACTATACTGCGACCTAGTCACGGGATCACAAGGACAAGCAAGAGGTTGCACAAGGGGGAACAGGAGGTGGCACAAGGGAGAGGAGGAGGTCGGAAGAGGGGGAGGAGCAGGTCGCACGAGGAGGACGAGAGGTTGCAGCGGAGGTCGGAAGGGAGGTTGGAGGAGGTCGCAGGAGAAGGTGGTGTAAGGAGGAGGAGGAGCTGGATGAGGTCGGAAGAGAGGTGTGAGAAGGTCGCGCAAGGGGGAGGAGGACGCAGTGCAAAGGGAAGGAGTGGGTCATGGGAGGGGTAGGAGCAGATCGCATGCTGGGGACGAGAGGTTGCAGAGGTCATGCGGCAGGGGAAGGAGGAGGTCGTGCTAGGGAGGATTTCGTACGAGCGGGAGGGGGTCGTGAGGGAGGACGAGGACGTCGCGATAGGGGGAGGAGGTTGCACAAGGAGGCGCGCGCGCACACACACGAGAGAGAGAGAGAGAGAGAGAGAGAGAGAGAGAGAGAGAGAGAGAGAGAGAGAGAGAGAGAGAGAGAGAGAGAGAGAGAGAGAGAGAGAGAGAGAGAGAGAGAGATCTGGCATATCTTCCTCCAAACGTGGAGAAGATGCCATTGGCCTTTTTTGGGGGGGTGGTAATTGGCCAAATACCCCCATATGTTGGGATATATGTCAAAATGTCCCTGGACATTGGGCGCTTTTTTTGCATTTGCACCCACAAAAAGTTGGCGACTACCGGGGCATTTTGCAAAGTTGGACAGTGTCTGGTGAGGTGCATTGCAAAGATGGGGTCCAACCGATGTCTGGGGTGTTTTGCAAAATGTTTTTGGCATCGTCCTTGACCGCAGCGTGGCTGCGGGGGGTCCACTTGTCTTCCAAAAAGGATATGAAGGGTGGGTTTATAGTGACGAAATTAATCAAGCGGGCAATCCTATTGGTTGGTTTTGGGAAGGGAGGAGTGATATGAGGAAGCCGCCATGTCCGCCTCTGGATTGGCTCCCACCGCAGTTTCAACAACAGCGAAGGGGTGGAGGGGGGGGAAGAGGTGGAATGCAGCAAGCTCAGACTTCTTCGTCTTCATTACTCTTGCAACAGAATAAGGTGCAGGAGCAACCTTCTATCCCCCCAAAGATGGTAGCCTCTATAAGTGCAGGTGGAAGGAATGGGGAGAGTACTGACCAGACTAAGCAACAAACTACAGTCAATGCACGTATAAAGAATACCCAGGGCCAGACTCCAGGGGTGAGAGGGGAAGGATCAAAGTTTGTGGGTCCTGATCCTCTGAGTTATCTTCCCAGGCCAAATCAAGTCCAAGGGACGGAATGGAGAGTTGTAAATAAGAAGGAAAAAACAAAATACCAAAGGAAAAACAGATAACATTCTACCTGTGCAGGACAAAGGGGAAGTAGATCACACTGAACCAGTGTTGGAAGTGGTTGAGGAACAGAGAGACCAGCCAATGGACATTGACCCTCTAAGAGTAGCATTGAGTGCAGAACCCATGGAGGTGGAATCTGCCCCAAAAAGGATACCCTTATTCTCACCGCTTGTGGTCAACAGCAAAGAGGGGGGGGAGATCTACAAGTGGAACTAACAAAGCTGGGGAATTAGCTGATTTCGAATCTGCAATTGAAATTCCCAAATTGGAATGAAATCTTTTGGACGCAGTTTCGCAGTCATTTGATGCTAGTGCTGGTGAATAGTGAAAGTCTAAATATGGCACTTCAATATGGCCTTCCGCACGGCTCGGATTGGTCCAGCACGAGCCACAGACTGCTAAGTGTGGTGACAGATAAGTTGCTGCCTCATCTTTTGACAAATGGTTGTTCGCAGGATTTTTTTAAGGGACCTTCTCCACAAAATACAGGAAAAGGAGAAGGGACTGCAGCTATTCCGAGGATTGTGACACGACCAAACAGTTTGAGGCGTCTAAAGGCCCTGGCTAGAAAGCACAGATGTCAGTCCCAGGTTAATAAAAGGAAAAAGGAAGAGAAGTCGGCCTTGGCAAGGGGAGGGAAGAGATATTCAGGAAATAGGAAGGTGCATACATCAGCCAACCATGGATCCTTTCAAAATAGGATGTCACACCTGGTT